GGAGTTACATGATCACGGTAGTTTATGCAGCACACAAATCTCATACAAGCATTTTGTATGCGTTGAAGTTTGTGTTTATTATAGTCTGGCAAGAAGTTGTAATACACTGAGCAGCAATACTCAATATGGGGATAAATCAATGATTGAACTAATTTCAGTTTTGTTTCTTGAGAAAGCTGAAACTTGAACTTGTATAAGAATTTCAGTTTGGAAAAGCAAGTTTTGTAAATGTGTTTAACGTGCTCATTGAACGAGAGAGTGTTATCGATATAGAAAAATATCGATAGAGAAAAAGTGAATAAAGAATAGAGGAATTGAAACTTGGAGACGGAAATATAGGTATCACACCAATGCACGCATTATACTTTATCGACGAGTTTTTGTCATTTCGGCTTGCGGAAATCGTCAGATTATATATTTTTCGTTATCCTCGAATTGTTTCCTTCAGAATGAAAAAAAATCAGCTACGCTCGAGAATGTCGAAATGACGTTATTTTTTTACAACTTTGCTGCCCTCCCCTTTCTTTATGTCACTCTCAAATTGTCAGATTACTAGAATATACACTTTTTAACAGGTAATTAACTCACCCTACTTTAATCTGACGCGTTCGAGAATTTCTGATGATTGAAATTTTTTCACTAATCTAATCCTTTATCCCTCACAGGCGGCCTTATATATGGGGCTCATATTTGGTGGAGTACTCAACCGGGTACAAGGTATCCCCCTGTATATTGATCTGCCGCGCTTCAGTAAATCCTGAAATCCCTGCTTGGGCTCCCCTATTATTAGGTGCAACCTTGATAGCCTGGATCATAGAAGAAGGTTTGTGCAAACTTGATAGCCTGGATCATCGAAGAAGGTTTGGAGATTTGTCTCTCTTCTATAGATACGGCAAGGGTTCAAGAGACTTGTCTCATTTGATTCCACCAAGAGCGGTACATATCAGAAATACGCGACGGACACTGGCTGCTCATCGTTTTGAGGTTCAACTCAGTACACCTCGAACTTCAATGTTCAAGAACTTTTCCCAAATGGATATGGTCTCCAATGATTCAAATCCAATGGGAATCGCTACTTTCGCTCAGGCACCTCTCTGAGAGCGACCCAAGGATTTTCCTGTTGTGATTGTGTTTTGTCCTTCAAAAAATATCAAATACCGTATTTGTTCCATCATTTGTTCGTCGTGTTCCAGTACACCCTGTATTTTGAAATTTATACAAAAGTATGTCAAGATGTATTTTGAGAAATAAACATCTCTATTTTTATTTTTCAGATTTACGGGATGGACGAAGAAGATGATCTGAGTACAAATTTTTTCGACGCATTCAGTTTTTAGAATTTTGACATCTACTTATTGTGTCTCATTCATAATATTTATAACTTCGTAACGTAAGTTTGTACATTGCAAGAATTTTTCATTAAACATTTTATGAATAAATCTCAATTATTTCATTCGCTATATAAGAGTTCAATGAACCTTTTTCCTGAAGTACGAAAAAAATCACTCACTAGCAGCGCTAGTAGTTCGGTAGGGACAAACACTGCCTAATCCTCATATAAACATATGGTGTAATAATGAATTATTATTACGTAAATAACACTGTTTTACATGTGAATAGTTTATTGTTTGTCCCTACTACTAGTGTTGCCTCTCGTGACACGTTTGCTGTATTATTCTCAGGAAAAAGGCTCATTAAATAATATAGGATTCACACAAAATCAACTTCTACAAGTATATATGTTCAGATATACAGTGCTTTTCAGATAAAATTATCCACCTTTGATAACTTTTGTAATACTAGTATTTAGGAAAAATTCAAAAACACGTCAATTTATGTTGGAAGGGGCAAGCATTATGGCTTATTTAAACTTACTGGAAAAGCCACCCCCTCACCCCTAGTATCATCCCTTTTTTTTTCAAATTACTTCTCATATTTTTTATGTAAAATTTGGATACTCCTCTTTGAGCTGATTTCAAAAATGTATAATACTTNTTTTTGAAGTAGAATAAATAGCACAGTTAAACAGATTAAAGAGTTTGAACTGTTGTACAACCCATTTTAGTACAGGCAAATAAGGTGAAAGTAAAAAATAAGTAAAATTTGTGCTATTAAAAGAAAAATTGTTTATCTCATAAACTAACCACTTTAACCTACAAGTATTATACATTTTTGAAATCAGCTCAAAGAGGAGTACCAAATTTTACATAAAAAATATGAGAAGTAATTTAAAAAAAAAGGATGATGCTAGGGATGAGGGGGTGGCTTTTCCCTTCCAACATAAACTGACGTGTTTTTGGATTTTTCCTAAATACCAGTATTACAAAAGTTATTAAAGGTGGATACTTTTATCTGAAAAACACTGAATACTGTTTTTTCCATATTATACGAGGATTTGGGCCATTCGTATATGCGGTTGTTTACAACCTCGTCTACGGCCAGAGGGGGCGATGACAGATATGTTGCTTGTCGTTCGCTTTAGCTTTGTTCGAGATGTGATACTCTGAAATAATTTGATTTTCAATTATGAGATATAATCCATGCCTTTCGTGGTATTAGCCAAGAGAGTAGTTGTTTTCTGAGAGGTGTCAGTCCATTACAGTATAGGTAAGTGGAGACTGACCTGAACAAATTTTTCCGTCAGATGATTTGTTATAACTATTACAATCATAATGGATTTTCATCAAGTTCTTATCGATTACAGCCAAAACTGGGTATAATATCTGAAAAAATCACGTGATAAAAATCGATCATCGAAAGAAGATACTTTTCGAGAAAATGAAAATATCAGTTATGGAAGCAGTCTATAAATCGAGAGATAAATCCAGGTAACTCCAGGTTTTTATTGCTCATATCTGTACTATAAGGAATATTTGAAACAATAATGGAAACTAGGGTAACAACGTGCCTTGATCGGCAATATTCAATATATGACTTCAGACAGGCAGATCAATGCAAGATGCAACTGCCTACTCAACTTTAAGATTACATAGGGTCTTCCAAACTATGACAATTGATAACGATCCTCTCGTTGAAGCTACATCTGTCAAATTAGTTTTCTTTGAAGGTGATTGACAATGTTTCGTGATGAATTTCACTAGTTCGGACTTCCATTGTCTACTATATACAATGATTTGAAATCCCTGAAACAAGTAAAAAAGAATAATTAAAAAAGAATAGTTGAAAATAACAATTATATTAAGCAACAATAAACCTGAAATGAAATGATAGTGAAATAACCTACAAGTAAAAATATAATAATTGAATAAATAAAAATTAAAGGAATGAAAAAAGAAAATAATAAAAAAATAAAAAAGTGTAGAGATTCCAAGTCACGTTAGTTCACGACGTTTCGATTGTTGGTATCTACAATCGTCTTCGGGTGATGACTGGACTGATTCCTCCGAGAGATGACTATTTTATAGGTCGTTGAAATACTTTCACTTTCTCTACTTTCCATTTTCCGCTTCACTGATTCCGTGAGAGATGACCGTTTTGGCGGGAGTTGGTCATTTTTCGTTTGATGATGGGTTTCCATATGTTTCGTATATCTACGCTGGCCTGGCTGAATACGTTGTTGGACAACATGTATGCGGCTTCCTTAAATTTTCTCCTGAACCAATGTTCCTCTCTGTGCAAGATCTCAGCTTGGGACCACTCGATGTTGTGTTGATGGGTCCAAACATGGTCTGCTATTCCTGATTTGCTGGTTTCTCCTCGCTGTGTGTGCTTCTTGTGCTCGGCAATGCGAACATTCAATGGCCTCTTAGTTTCACCAATATAGGATTTTCCGCACTCACAGGGTATCCGGTAAATGCAATTCTTGGAATCGCAGTCCGCGTTTGGTGGCCTGGTTTTCGTGAGGCTGCTACGGATAATGTTACCGGATCTGAAGCAGGTTCCGATGTTATACTTGGACCCAATCCATCGTATCCTTTCCGATAATCCTCTGATGTAGGGAAGTACAAGTACTGGTTGTGGCAGCTTCTCTTACTTGTGAAGTTCTTGCTGTCTTCTAGCTAAGGCCTGTTCTACCATCACTCTGGAGTAACCATTCCGTTGATGGTCATTTTTGATGATGCCTATTTCTTTTTCGAGACCTTCCTTTGTATTACAAATCAATTTATATTATATTAGACAATGGAAGTCCGAACTGATTATGAAATACACCACGAAACATTGTCAACCACCTTCAAACAAACGTTCGAATAACATGCCGTAACTCAGAAGCGACACAGCCATCAGTTTCCATGTGTCTAGTTTGAAAACAGGAGTTTTCCTTTGAAAATGTCCAATTTGAGTCACTCTGTAAACACTTCCTCAAAATAGAGAACAATATATCCACTTTTCAACAAACATACATAAAGGACATGCATTCAATTGGGCAAACACGGAAAGTAGGTCTTTTATTATCCCAACTATTTGAAAGTAATAACCTTGGTTATTTATTATAATATACCTACTTCACTCTAATGATTCTCCTACATCATTGTCGAATTTGACCTATTTAGTTGAGACGGTGAGATGGAGACTCAGGAACAGTTACCATTTACAGTACTTCAGAGATTTAGAAAATCCTATCGATCAGATTTAATGAACGATTTTGTAACTGAGACGACTTCGACTATAACATACGGTTAGAGAAATGAAACTTTATTAAAGTTTTAATGACAACGTGAACTAAGCCAATGCAATTGAGTGCAGTTTCCTCAAGGATCTAAGTCTAAGAGAAATGAAAATTATTAGAACTGATACAGTGGGTTCAAGAAAAGACTGCCACGAGAGAATAACGATGATGGTGCTTATTTCAGAGAAAATGAGTTGGAAAACACAGGTTTTGTTTCATTCATATCACGCTAGAGGTTCAAATTCTACCTATCAAATATTTTGACATGTTTTTTTATATTGACATTATCGAATTTTCATTTATGCACTGATCGAAATGAATCGAACTCATAATTTCAACTAGTGAGATTTGTTTCGATTTGCTATACAATTCTGAATCAGGATTTGAGTACCTACTCAATATATACTAGGTATATAGAGACTGGCTTGAACGTTTGAAGTTCCATTCACTTTAGATTTACCTACTTTTAGATTGAAGCATTTCATTTTCTGAAAAAATTACTATGATCTACGATCCCATCAGATACTTGATTCTAATGTAGTGAATCAGTAGTATATGAATTGTCTTGTGGTTCATGTCGGACGATTCACATGGGTCAAACTGGAAGAACATTTGGAGCTCGCATGGAAGAACACAGAAACAGTTTCCAGATGAAAAAAAATCAACATATGTAACTCAACTCCTCATAGGGGGACATGAGTTGAAACATGAATTCAAAACTGTTCGTTCGTTTCCCAGAAAAAAAGTTAGAAAATCGACCTTCTGGAAAGTGTGGAAATCAACAAGTACAAAATTTCTCGATATTTATTGAACGATCAAATTGGGTTGAATAGTTTTCCGTTACCTAATATGTTCCCAACAAATAATGTTGCGTTGTCGCTCTAGAAAGATTATTAATTATCATATAATCATGAAATAATTGAAATTCATATTAGCAAATACATGACTTGAAAGATGTTCCAACCTGAACTTCAATATTCTAAAACAAAAACACTTAGTATTCAGAATTCCATCTTTTAATATTCCAAGTTCATAGATATCAAAATTGATACGATCACAGGATATAGAAATATAAAACAATTCTCAAATACGCAAACTTTGCACAAATTGCATACTGAGCAATTTACCAGTACAGTGACTGAATCAAAGTTGCAATGTCACAATATGAATCTCCATAAATATTAAGGGAGGTCAAGATTACGAACAGACAGTATTCATTTCAGTATCTATTGATCATCAGCAATGCAGCAAATCTCTTTTTCCTCGATCCTGCTGGTTGGCAGTATAATGTGAGTTTTTGGTGATTTATTGTATTTCTTTATTAAAATTTTAGTGTAGGTTTATTCCTGAATTATTTTTCGCATTCCGTTACAAGAAATATTCCATAGAGTTTTCAAATGAGTTTTTTCATTATTTTTTGGATGAATGGGTGGAACAGCGAATAAACTCCTCTCGTTTATAGCCAAGCCTGTACTGAGTTGCGACAGTATTGTCTTCTTTCTCCAGTGAACAAGTATTTTCACCTATTTTCACCTGCTTTCACTGGTTAATGGATGGACTGTCTTCTCTCTTTTCAGGTAGTTGAACTCAGATTAGAATTATTCATCTGATCGTGAGTCAAAGTGATCTTATAGAATGAGAATTCATTACAGTTTCAGCTGTTCAGGAGAGCCAAGACCGAAAACATACGCAAACTTTGATCAAATGCCAAGGTTTTGCGAACTGTTTTCTTCGATTATCGTAGTGCAATGCATCAGGAATTTTTGCCATATGGTCGTGCGGTCAATGAGGACTATTATCTCTAAGTTATGC